CATCATCATCATCATCATCATCATCATCATCATCATCATCATCATCATCCTCATCCTCATCCTCATCCTCATCCTCATCCTCATCCTCATCATCATCATCATCATCATCATCATCATCGTGTCTTCTATGGTTTAGAGCTATCTATGAGCTGGACCATGAGGAAGTGGAACAGTGCTTGTCCCATCTCGCGGCCGTTCCACAATGTGTCCACCCCAAACCGCCGTTGCATGACGGTTTCAACGCTTCCTCTCTCACGTGAGTCTTCTGTCCTTCGGTCCCAGGACATCGTGCACGAAATCGCTCCCAAGCCACTGCTGGAAGGGTAGTAGGCCATGAACTTCGGGTGCTGCCAACCTGGCCAACAGCTTCTGCGACCGAGCGTCGAAATGAAAGGAGAGCTGAAAAAACACTCAGCCGTTGATGTCTGTTTTTTGAGGGAAAAGGAGTCGGAGGAGTGGAAGACTGTTTGGGGGGGGAGACTGCTGGACTGGACCTCCGGGACAACACACATATCACAAAAGATCAGGACAACACACAACACACATGTGACAACATGACTTGATCATCTTCCAGGGCCCCCGGTTTCGGGGCGTCTAATTATAGCTCCTTACGCTCCTTAAGGGATGTCCATTAACCACCCCCATGCGTTAAGGGCCCTGGTTTATCCTTTCCAGATCTTTTCAGAGAACTGCCGCCTTCACTCCGGGAGGGTGAAGCCCACACAGGCAACGTGAGAGGCTCTCTTGAGGTCACTCTTTTTCGGCAAGGTGAGGTCACTCTTGAGGTGTCTCACATCAGTGGATACATAAATCTAATGATCTAAAATGACGGGCATGAACAAATAAAACCCAAACACAATAACCTAGGCAAGTGCAAAATGGATGGATGTTTACGTTCTTCTATCATCTGCATCACCATGCATCACCATGTTCAAGGCAACCATTTCAATCTGCGTCACAGGCACTGTGTACATGCGCGTGCTCAAAAGCAGCTGTACCATCCTTCCGGCAAAGTTGAGACCTCCATCGTTGAGACGGTCGCCACGGTCGGCGTCGTGCTGAGGATTCCTAAGGTATACGATATATAGTAGCTGCTTAATGGGCAGTGCTTTGTGGATATCAGCATGGTTTGGAGCCAAAACTGTTTGCCTTAGAAGCTTCTCTGATTTCAATTGTTGTTAGTTTATGTATGTTTATGCTAGTGTTGCTTTATTGAGCTCCATGCTTTCCGGTAGCTGCGAGCCGGAAGGAACTCCACTCGCAATGACCGCTCTCCAACCCGGCCTGGGCGGCTCCTCTTTAAGGGTCAAGGACTCCGCCGGAGGTCTCAACGAGCCCCAAACGCACCCAAACACACCCCAAAACCGCATGCCGGTGGCGCTTAAGGCACCCGGGAAGATGGTGGTCTCCAGTTTCTGCAAGATCTGGCCATATTCGGTCGGCTCCACTGGGGGCTCCTGAATTGGAGCTGGTGGATGGCCATTGGCAGCTGAAGACCCCATCGGTGCCCTGTAGCCAGTGGTCTTTGGGGATGTTCATGTAATCCATTTTCAGGGATATGTCAATATATATATATAATCCCGTCCCCTAATAATAAACACGGGCCCCCCCCCCTATTAAAAAAACCTCGGTCGCATTTTTTTTAATAGGGGGTCCCTGAAGTCGGGGGGTTCAAAATAGGCTCAGTGGATGTGCACTAGTTTGTTGACCGTGAACTGCAGATTTCGTGGCAGGTGCAGTACTTTGCTGACCTTGAAGTGCAGATTTCGTGGCAGGTGCAGTACTTTGCTGACCTTGAAGGGCAGATTTCGTGGCAGGTGCAGTACTTTGTTGACCTTGAAGTGCAGATTTCGTGGCAGGTGCAGTACTCTGTTGACATTGAAATGCAGATTTCGTGGCAGGTGCAGTGCTCTTTAGACCTGGAAGTGCAGATTTCGTGGCAGGTGCAGTACTTTGCTGACCTTGAAGTGCAGATTTCGTGGCAGGTGCAGTACTTTGCTGACCTTGAAGGGCAGATTTCGTGGCAGGTGCCAGCCGTTTAAAGGCAGCCAGCCAGACAGGGTTTGGCGCCAGGCAGGCAGACAGCCAGGGAGGCAGCCTGGCAGAGAGCAGAGCTAGTCAGCCAGTTTAGAGGCAGCCAGCCAGCAGAGCCAGGCGCCAGCAGGCGGCTAGAGAAGCAGGGCAGGTTGATATCCTCTAAGACCCCCTTTAGTATAGCCATGGTTAAAATATATACATAAATATTTGACCGCGGCATGTTTGTAGGATTGGGGCAAGAGGATATCAACCTGCCCAGCCAGACAGAGAGCCAGACAGTCCGCCGCACAAACGAGAGAGGCAGGCAGCCAGTGGAGGGACAGGGAGTGGAGAGTCAGGGACAGCCAGACAGTTAGAGTTAGCTATTGCTAGGAGCAAGGACGCTACTAGGGACGCCTAGCATCGCTACTAGGAGTAAGGCCCCTACTAGGGGCTCCTGGCCTCGCTACTAGGAGAGCCAGCGGAGAGTCTGCAACGCGACATGGTCGATTTTGAGGGTGTATTGGGACCTATTTTGGGGGAGTTTTGGGGAACCTAATAAAAAAAACTACCCCCAAAATCGACCATGTTGGTAGTTTAGTAGCGGTTTGAAAGGGCGGCAATTTAAAACCAAATATAAACCGAATTTAGGGGTTCGGACGTGTTTTTTTTTTAATTGGGGAGTGTTTATTAATAGGTACTCGGGATTATTACATATATGTCTGAACAAACGAAGGGTTGACCTACAGAAGGAAATCCTCCAATGTCTGAGACAGGGAACGCCATGGTTGCTTGGGTTCCTCCTATGTTATACGAAAGTAACTAAAGGTAAGGTTTCAGTGCTTGGCTGGTCTTGATTGAAGACTTGACACAAATACTTCAGCAGGACGGGTCATGTTATGAGAGGAGAGCTCAGGGGGCGCCAAGTCTGACCTGTGAGATTGACCTCACCAGGTCTGAAGCAAGGAACCCAAAGAACGGATATGTAAGCGATACACCAGGCCTGAATGGCCTGGAAAGTGCCTTGGTATCGCCTGGCGGGTTTTCCCCCCATAACCAGTGACAGTGGATGATAGTTAATAAAGGCATTTCTCGACAATTTGTGATAATCTTTTGTGGATGGTTACTGGTAAAGGGACACGCCCTAGCTATTGCCAGTGTCGTATGATTATACGAACATGATTGCAAATGGGGCTTCAGGAAAACACTCGGAAGTACAGGACTATGATTAAGCAAACCCAGAAAACAGATACAATCAAATACAGCAATAGGCCCGACTGACTCCGCGGTTTCAATTGGCACAGTGACAAAGTGGTACAAACATAATCATCGCCACGCTGTATATAATTGGGGCTTGTGCCCCTCCTTGGCAAAGTCTGCCGCGAGCTGGCCCGGTTCCACGTCCTTCCAAACCTAGGTTGGACCATGTCTGCAGAGTCACTGCCATGTGAGGGAGTACAGTAAGTCAACCTTGTGATACTTTGAAGGGGCACTGGTATCCTTAAGGCCTTCTGCATAATTAGATGAGCACAGAAAAGGCATTGATATGGAGCGCACCTTAGAATACTTGTGCATAATTTGGCGCATACCAGGTGGTGTAAAGGTGTATAGGAACACAACTTGTATTACAACAGTGTGGAGCTCCTGGTCCCGCATGGATTTCCACACGGCCACACACTGTGAAGACTCATGTGTGCAAGAAACATCTCTGGTGTTGACAAAGGTTAAGCATGATGAAGAGCGCGCTCAGAGATTGAACAGTATTCGAAGGGTGTCTCAACTTTCTGTTCATGCTCAGAGTCCTGAGTTCCTAAAGCACATTAAAAACACGGTCCTTTAGCGTGAGCACGTGCCAACTTGCACGAAACAATACATAAAATTAACTATTAAAATTCATGTATAGTACAATATATGTATACATGATCATACATGTATACCCTCCTTGGAATCATCGTGGTTATGTGGATGTCATGGCCCCGAAAGGAAGACCAAACAAACAAACAAATGGTAAGCTCAACTTCCATGATATTTCCAGGGTGGACATAATAACATAACCCTCAGAGTCCATGGACGCTAAAAAGTAGGACCTCCGCCGAGGAGGTCCTTATTAAAAGGCCGATGTCCGAGAAACCATAGAAGTTGCCGGGGTTTCAACGCCGAGGAATCCGAGGAAACCCAGCAAAGGGGATATAGGATCCTGTGAAACCTTGGTCCACAATTTAATCACAACCCTGCTCGTGAGCAATCTTGAAAAAACGTCCACTCATTCAGATTCATATAGAAATTGCGCACAAAAGTGTGTAGGATGCCATGCCAATGCTCACGATTGCTCACGTTTTGCTGAGGGATTTTGTTTTCCTGTTGAGGTTGTTTTGTGCCTTAGAGGACCTCCGAGGTACTTTTCAGGACTTTTGCTCACGCTAGCTATGAGCAGACAGCAAATAAATGAGGGTGTTCATTTTATTTGGTGGGAAATACAGGTCTGGAATTGCACGATGCCAATTGTCCTCAAGCAAGCCAACACCAGCAATGAGGGGCCATCAAATAGCCCCCTCGCCGATGTTCTTTTTAGGACCTCCGACCTTGAATGGAAGACTATCGCCGATGTTCTATTTAGGACCTCTTTTCTCAACAAATCCGAGGATCCTACAAAGTAGGACCTTGGACTTCCAGGGTAAAGAATCATAAAGATTCATAAAACATCTATCAGTTATATACAGTCAGTTACAGTATCATCCAAATGCTCTCAGTCTCTAGTTGGCCCACACTGACGACTCCGGGCGCAGACTTGTGGGCCCAGCCACGCCTTGCTGGGGAATGGACTTGGTAAATCTGCTGATGGCCTCCAACGTCTGCTGCCCCAGCTTCACCAGAATGTCTCCATCCACCTTCTTCGGTGGAGCCATGGCGGACGATTCTCGCGCGCCCATCCTTCTGCGCACCGACCTCACTGAGCCCACTGAGCCAAGCGCTGCGACGCCGAAGCCGCCGGTCCGCGCGCGGACGCCGCCCGCGGACGCCGTGGGGATCCGCGGACGCCGCGTCGGCTCGATGCGACGCGGCGTCCGGCCCAGTCCAGGGAGTCGACGGATTCCACGGGCCGCGTCCATGGGAGGTCGTCAATGGTGACTTTGGGGGTGATAGGTGGGTCATGGTGGTGCCGGGCGGTGTGTTTGGCGCTGTGTTGGGTCAACTGATGTGGATGATGTGCGGCATCGGCCTGTCCCCTGAGCCAAGACCAACGGCATGTCCCCCTGCTACACGGCTAACTGCTAACGAAGCCAACCTTCTTAGTATGTCTTTGTTCTGCGTTGGGAAGCACCGATTGTTGGCCAAAACATGAACACAATAAGGAAACATGGATGGATACCTGAATATCCATGAATACCTGTGTATTCGTTCATTGTGCCTTCTGCTCCTTTTAGTTGCAAAAAGCTTCAACAGGAATACCATGGGCTTCGCTTCCAGTGTCCACCTTTGTAGAAGAAAGTGTCTTCGAATGTCTTCGAGGAACACATCCCCTGCTAGCAGAATTGCATCTCCTCTGCAAGGAATGCAGTGCAACTCTTAGGGACAAAAGTGGATAGTGCAATCTAGAATGGCTCACTGTCACTGACTGCCATGTACATACATATAGTGGCTCCGCATGGCTACCTGCCTATCCACAGTTTCTTGGCAATCCAAAGGTTTCACAGAACGAACCCAAGAGATCTCAGCTTTGGAACCCATGTACTGTTGTCTTGGCTTCACTGTTAACCCTGATAGTTTACGCCCGCCCCAGTGAAGACATCATTAATTGAACACATAGAGAGATCGACATTCATTCATACTCTGGACTGGAGTTTGGGCGACTTGTTCCACATCGAATCTTCTGGCCGTAGACTGTTGATGCATAACCCGCCCAACAGTTGGATTGTAAAACGCTCTCCATAGGGGGGCTATGATTTAAATTGAATCAACAGTCTAAGTCTCCTTTAAAAGCCTCAACGCCTTTCGGTTCATCTTTCTACACGGCTACAAACCATGGATCCAGGAAAGCTGCTTCTCCTCCACGTTCCAACCCCCACCTGCAATAAACAAAAGCCGTGCGCGGTGACAGAGCGACGATGCAAAAGGGACTTAGGCTTGAGAAAGGGCGTCCAACTTGAGTCTGAGTAGACCTGAAGCGGTGTTCTTTCAGATGACCATCTTCCGAATACCATTTTTTGTGTTTTTGTTCTGCGGTGGCTCCACTTCGATCCATTGATTCTTGTAATGTAAGGAGTGTGTCATCTTGGTGTTTTTATGGCTGTGTCCTTGGGGCCAGCTGTTGGCACCTGCGTCTGCTCGTGGCTTGAGAACCCATGCCATTGAGAGTCGTCGGCAATGTTCACATGCACTTTGCACAATACACTCAATTGTTAATTTGCTCCTCTAAAAGATCCCAACACGTCCTACATATCTCCAAGGTCCAAAGGCCTTACAATGATTCCATGAACCAACACATGTCAAAACCAGGATGGCAATGCTAACAGCCAACAACTGTCAGTCTACTCTCGTCAGCAGCCGCCAGCACCTTTTCCTGGGTTTCTTTGCCACAGGATGAACATCACCATCTTCATCGCTGTCGTCCTTAGGAAGAAACCCTGCCCACCAAGGCATACCTACTCCGGGCAACACAGCAAACAACATTGAACAGGGTGGCCACTAAAGCCGAATCACGCGAACGTATATAGTCTTAGACTTCAGCAAAGAGGTGTTATTAACATGTAACATACCCTCCCGGGAATAGGCTCCAAATACACAAGGACGACATGCTTGGAAAACCATCAGAAGTCCATGATGTGAATCATGAATGACTCAAACACATGCAGCACCCTGTTTGAATCCGTTTGATCTCTTCTGTTTATCCCAAAGATCTTGTTTACAAATAACACCTATGATAAGTTATGTATGCTGTGTCAATGAGGGCGCCCATACAGTCGGACGGAGAAGGGAAACATGTCTCCATGTGCAAACCAAGTCTCCATATGCAAGCGCCAAATCCTTGACTCGAACTCGGGAGCAAGAGGCAGAAGCAAAGACCAGCAGACCATCAAACCATATATAGAAAATATGAATTATTCAATAAACTATAATAAACGGTGAAAAAAGTAACAATTCATATATAAACTGTAGACTATTGTAGAATCAATCCTGAGAATGACCAACTGAATCAGAATCAGCCTTGATGGACCGTCAAGGCTGAAGGGGTGCTCGTTCACTCTATCCCAGCAGTCCGATCCACTCGCCCAGTTTATATCCACGGCTCCAGCGTCTCAACTGCTGCGCCATGAGCGGATGGAGCTTCGCCAGGGCCGTCTCAGCCACCTGGTAGTTGTGACCTGGTAAGACACATCCACAGACATGCACAGAGCATCCATGAGGACTGGAACATTTGCCTGCATTGGGGTGGTGTTGGGTCTTTTTGAGGGTCAATGGTAAATCAATCTCTCCCGTCCCATGAATTGGGTTTCGGAGAAACAGCCCCTCCCTCCCATGGATCAGTGAGGGCCGAAGCGGGGCCGGGTGGACGCCGCAGATTGGCACCGGTAGATGCACACCTTCTCGACAGGTCAGTTTGACATATTACTGGAGTCATAGAAAAGCACGACTCAAGGAATGAAAAACAAGGTTTACTTGTCTTTGGACTTGTAGCAGGGAATGCTTTCTTTTGAAATTCCATGGATTGGGTCTCTTAACCTCTTTCAGAGCTGTCAGAGTCGGAGTTCTTTTACAGACTGTTCTCTGGAAATCAGTGAGAATTCCTTCATCTTGGGTCTGCAAAAGGACGAATAATGGACATAAGGATCGATATAGGCAATACATGGCAATAGAATCTGCGAATCTAGAGGACCTGCATTGATCTCACTCTAGGAACCAAGGAACTATTTATACTCTTACTCAACTACCACTCAATTGGCTTAAGCTTACAATCATTCTACTGATTATGATTGATTATGTATATTCATTTAATTGTCTTACATATTTTCGGCTCCCAACCTCGATGGCCAACCTGGCCGCGACCGACGCGACATCTCTCCACTCTCCCGCGAGAGATGAACCGGCCCTGAGCGACCCAGGCCGTTGATGTAGTTCCTTCGAGCGCCGGACCGGGTCAGGCATTGGTCTGACGGACTGGTTTGGATCTGACGGAAAAGTGTCGTTCTCAAACTGCCGGTGAGGCGAAGGTGGTATTTTCCATGTTGTTCCTTTGCCATGGAGACGAATTCCGATAATTCCTCCAAAATTAAGAGAATCCAGGCAAGATTTGGTCCGACCGAACATGGTAACAGTGCCAGCCTCGAAAGAAGCACCAAAGCAATTTCAACTCAACCGGTCAGAAAAATCATCCTCCAGATTCGTCCATTTGGGGTTTATTCTTCATCTCTCACGTCATGTGTTGTGAATTTTGATGCTTTGATGCACCTCCAAACGGCTGGGCAGCATACAGGTCGTCGCTTTCCCCCCCGCCCAGTCCTAGTGTAGGCGGATGTTTGGGTCAAGGACACCTGGCGGGTTCCGGGTGATCTCCGAAGGCCTCCAAACCAATGCACTCGATCTCCAAAGCTGCAACTCTCACCGTGACTTTATGCAAGTTGCATCAGTGGCCGAGTTGCAGGAAGCTCAACAGGATTCTTGAAACTGTTCAATAGGAACATGATGGAAAATGAGGACCCAATCGTTCTTGCTTCATCACCCAGTCAGTGCGTCAAGTTGTAGAAAGTTACATCTGTTATGGAGTGCTGGAGTTGATGCAAAGTATATTCATTTAATTACATTTATGATATTCCTATATACCTGTTGGGCAGATTCCGCGTTTCCCTTGTTGTATCTACCCCAGCAGGAACGTGCTGGTCGTCTTCCTTCCGAGGCTGGGATGTCTCACCCTGCAGTTCCCGTCGGGCACCGTGCAGTGCCACCAGCCGCTGGGGATGAAGACCAGGTCACCTGATTCTTGCAAGACCCATCGCAGCGTGGCGGCCGCTGGCGTCCTGGAGAAAGAGAGAGAGAGAGAGAGAGATCGTTTTCGGGGACGTGGAGCGTGGAAGAATGGACAGAATCCATGTGGCATATATAGCTCCCTCAAAACCTACATACGAGTGTCCCCAATCACCTTCTGAGAAGGTACTTGGATCCCTAGTGATAGCTTGCTTGGACCCATGTTGGAGGGTTACATGTTACATGCCGGGGCACAAGCCTCTGAGAGCTCACCATCTCACCGAACAGAACACTGCCACATCCCAGATCCGCTCCCAATGAGGTCGGCCAAGGTCAAGACCGGCGGCGCAGCGTAGAAGTGAGAGGCCTGTCAGACCAGATTCACCTGGATGATCCATGGTTTTCAGGCGAGAAATCACCCATGGTGCTGGGGCTTGGGCTCGATGAACCCATGTGTTCCAAACCAGATTCTGTGAGGCTCACACACGTGAACACTTGGGCCGTGTTTACATCAAATCACACGTCCGACCTGCCTCCGATAAGCCGCCCAAGAGCTGCGCCTGTACCAGTGGAAGGTTCGGTGAACACCATTGAGTTGCACACATGTCTTTCCGAGGTCAAACCAGGCTTTTGGGTAGTCTACACATTTGTTGGGTGTATAAGTGAACAGTGCATCCTGAATTGCCTGAAAACAATGGTGTTGAGTGTTCGGTTGGTATTCAGAGTGAATCCACCATCGGGTATGCAGGCTGTATGGGTGTGTAATTCTAATGGGATCACCTCCCTTCAACAGCCAGCATCCACCTGATGTACATATAACATCTGAGAAGAAGATGTTTGGGAATGATTGAATTTGATCGAGTTAGTTATAAGATATGTCCCTCTTTGGATCGGTATTGGAATGGTGCAACCGGTGAGTTCAGGAATCGAGAATGGAGTTCCAATCCTTGAAAACGACGGAGGAGCTCCGGTGGGAGCCTCCACGTACGGAGGAGCTTGGTGCTCAGAGGGTGGGAAGAAGGCCCAGAGCTTCTGGCCCTCGAAGAGAAGGTTCCTGCGGTGTGGTTGGACCACTGAAATGGACATGACTCTTCAAGTCAAACTCTGACAAAGACACCAAACATGAACAACTTGTTAATCTCCTATAGCAACTTTATTCCAGTCAGACCAACGAGACGGCATCTGAATAAATGGAAAAAAGCGTTGAAGGCCGGTTTGTTCACCCTACTCAAGCAAAGGGGATCAGCACAAAGCAACATGTGCATGGCTGTTTCATGTAATTGTCCACTTTAACAAGAAAACTGTTGGGGTATTATAGGGAGACACACTGACAGACATGTTGAGATATGTTGAGACATGGCTTAATTGATAGAGTTGTATACCATAGTGATACCCACTGCTTCCAAACAAAAACACAGGAGTGGAAATAAAGATGCCAAACATGCAATTGTTACATCAAAAGCAAGACCTACAAGACCCCCCCGACCTGGCTCGCGCAGAACTGACTGATGCATGCTGACGTAGAAAGCGACTCGAACCGCTCTCCGGTCCAGGCAGCAGTACCCCAAGGGTCAAAGTGCCAGCGAGAGCCACTGCCTGGAAACCGGAGAGCCAGTCAGGGCAGCAGCGATCCAAGTATCCTAAGTATCAAATCCTCTCACTAATTTCAAGTTGTAGTAGTTGTTTTCTTATGTTTTCTTACCTGGTTAAAAACACAACAATTGCAATAATCAAGATTAATAAAGTTGCCTTTTCTACACCACTCGAGTAACATTGATGGAAGACATTGATGCCAAGTATAATTGCAGATTTCAAGATCTACGTATATATCTACCTCATCAAAGGTCTACATCCTTTACATCCGCTTCATCCCCCCGTCTACCTCATCAGCACACCCCGCTCTTCCACCGTCCGAGTCACTGGCGGGCCCCACTAAGAGCCATCCCGCCAGACCGGTGAAGCCCTGGTCGAAGCGACCGGCGCACGCGACCGGCCGGCGCGATGCCGCCGGCGACCGGACGCCCGAAGCTTCGCCCCGAAGCCTGGGTAGACTGGCGGCAAGTCGGGTCTGTTTCTTCGTTGGATAAGCCCCTGCCTCAAGGGTTGGTAGTTGCAATCGCCCACGGATGGCCACTTGGCCAGGGCAGGAAGGCAAAGCAACACAACAACAGCCCCCAAAAAAAGCACCACCGAGAAACGTGGCAAAGAAAACACGATAAAGTAAACATGTGTTGCGATGTTTAGCCTTGTTGCCTTTCATTGTCTTTGGTTCATAAAATCATTACTTAACTTTACTGTCACCAATATTAGTCACATCAGGTGACTGGAAAACTGTTAATCTGCAAGGGGGGGCCCGATGCGACGGGGTCACATCAGGTTCCTGTTTACAAGGCGTTTTAGTGTTTGAAACATGTTTTGGCTTTATACGAAATTATTCCATTTCCTTTGCGGAAGCAGCAGCAGTAGGCATTTACACCAGCAGCACACCAGCAGCAGCAGCAGCTACCACCACCACCACCACCACCACCACCACCAGTACCTTGCTTGGCCAGGCTGCTGTCTTACTTTTTCCGGTCCATCCAATTGCTACGCGCTAGATTGCTATCTCTTCTGCTTTACATGTCACTATGTGTTTGCTTTGTTATCGCTTTATTTGTTAATTAATTACGTTGGTTCCTTGTTTCTCACATTCTGTGGGAACGCAGTCCTACCCTGCGTGTGCCCGGACAAGCTTTGATGTTGACTCTTTATTCACACCCCCGCAAAGATTCAGAGCGAGGATGTTCAAACAATGTCAAAAATATCCGTACAATGCGCGTATTAATCAATCAAACAAGGGTCAAGATCTTTCACCATCTGAGCGGTGGCATTTATTCATGTCTGAACTCAATAAACACTATCCACTATATTAGGGCACTATCTTGTTTAGACTATTTACTTAGGAGGTCATGTCACAGTATCTCGTTCAGACTACTTATGGTAACACATCACAGTATCTCATTCAAACTGAGACTACTGTAGTCATAGTATCAACAATAAACGTCTCTCGTTCATGTGGGGGCCCTATCTCGTTCACCAGCGAATACTGATGTTGGACAAACCAATAGTACATGCTGTAGACTGTAGACTACTTACTAAAGAATGAATTAAAGGTGATTGCTCATCTCATCCTTCTTGCCTCCCTTTTATTGGCCCTCGCATGCCCGGACCGTCCTCGCCTCCGGCGTCTCCTGGGCATCCAAGAAGAAATCCTCGCAGAACAGCTCCGGGACATGGAAACTGCTGTCGACGGCCTTGAGGCATCTGACGATCCACAACGATGACCAAACAAGGTCCCAAGGTGTACATCGGAGAGCTGGGTTCTGTTCAAGATCCATCTTGGAGAGCGGCTTCCAGTATCCCAAAGGATGTGGGATGCTAAGTACATTACTGAAACATCAAATCTCTATCAGCCCGGGGTGTCCAGTTTCGACAAGGGCGGCCCCTGTCACGGCCTCTCGCAGGTCTTCCTCGAACTCTTGGAACAAATAGAGAGGTTCACTGTCCTTTTCGCGGTACGGGGTCAATGGCACCTGGACAGTGAATTCAACAACACTCCAGGTCAATTTACTACGAGTACATCCAGGCCGATTAGAAACTTTAAAAACCGTAAATGACCAACAAACAGATGCATGGTTGTGGGATAGCCCCCCCCCACTTTGAGCACACGAACAGGGGATCACGACAATTCCATTAGGATATCGGGACATCCACCTAAAAAAATAATGTCAGGACATTCCCAAAAAAAGTCTTCTTCCAACTCCTCGCAAATGATATGATATGTTTCTCTCCCGCACTGACCAAGTTTCTAGGTCTCAACAAAAGCACGTCAGGACTGCTATCTGAAACCCTCAGCTTAGTCACCTGGAAGTGTGCATACTTATCAGCTCCAAGTGTACTCCCCTATAATCACACACGCCCTTTTTTCAATACATCTTGCAGTATCGAGACGAACTGTGAGTGCCATCAGTTTTTAACGTGGCACCAATATGCACCAATTGGCTGTTTCGTCGCCGTGTCAGTCCTGGTGGGAGTCCATGTATCTCACATACTCCTCGAATGGCATGCGAATCACTGAGAGCTTGGTCCTGCGACCGGCCCAGCTCTGTCTCGACGCGGTGGACACCGTGACGATCCCGAGAGTGTCGATCTGAACGGGGGGGACGGTCTCAGTGGGATGCGGTTACCCGGTTGCGTGCAACCGAGAGGTGCCCGCGAGCAAGTATCTCTCGAGGTGCCCCCCAGTCAGGCACAAAGCCGAGAAGACCATGCCACTTGATTTCAAACAACAAAACACAGGCCGGTTTGTATTGAAATAGGATGAAATAGGGATAGGGGATCTGAGGGGTTCTTGTATGTTGGTCTTCCCAGTGGTCCGCTCGTGGGGGCTCTACTACAATGACCACATGGTTGGTTTGGTTTCGATTCAGCTGCCAGGGTCCTCCCGCTCCAGGGTCCTCCCAGATGTCAGGGCCAGGGCATCATCTTGGATGTGACAACGACACCTCAGGTGGAAACGCAAGCACAAATGACTATATTTATAGTAGTCAGCAACAAAACTGCGAATTCCAACGAATAGTGAGCAACAAAACTGTGGTGTCACAAAACCTGAGCAGCACGATCTGAGCTGTAACCACACTACAAACAACAAGCATCAGAATTACTTGATCATAGATTTTGAGACATTATGGTCAGCAAACCCCCGTGTGATACCACCGCTGCTTTCCAACAACCTGGCCAACCTGGCGCGTGTTTCAACATCGATTTGCCCTCGAAGACGCGGTTTTCCGTGTGGGCCGAACCGGGCGACGGGCGCCGCTGGAGTGAGCGCTGGAGCGTCTGGACGTGCCAGCGCTCGGGCTGCTGAGACGCAGCAGGAGCTGCAGCCTGCGTCCGACTGGGAGCGGCAAGCAAACTTGGGTTTGAAACTCTACAAATAGATACACATAGAATCAAATAGATTCTACAAAGTCTAAAGTGACAGTGGATTAATAATGGACGCAGTATGACGCAGTATAATCTATCACAGAAGGCCACGACCACGACCTCACATACCACTGTCCACCGGATGGTGAAAGACTGCTCTTCAAACTAATCCACGGCTGCCGGCTGCCGCGAGGGATTTTGGAGATCAACAACTTAGTCTGTTGAGTTCACCTGTTCTATTTTCATCACTTAATGACCTGATCCAGCACCACCCGAACCCCCGGGACCATGCATTTTCCATCCAATAACCAACCACCCTTTGGGTGTTGGATCCTTGAGTTGATGAGATGGTTTTTTTCTGTACAAAGAACATGTGAATGATGGAAGCCCTTCTTAGCTGGGTGATGATTTGGCTGTGGAACGGTGGTGATTTTACGGAGTCCGAACCTTTCAAGACCATCGCGACTGGTATCGTGTGTCCCCACATGGACGCTGCTGACCTATCCATGAGGATATTCCATGTCAGGCTATCTGGAGTCTGGGATGTGAAGTGATCGAAACTGGAACAGGATGGCTTTTTTTACAAGGGTTTGCCTCCTATGGTCACCGTTGAACTACTGTTGAACGAATATACTCATACTCGTGAGAGCCATTGTGAACCGCAAGGTTGCTATGCAACGTTTGGAGAACTCCAGTTGAAATTGTCAAACCCACATGGAGGTGAAACAAAGTTATATAAGCAAATTCAATGGCACTGGTTTCACCCAAGAACCTCGTACACGTCTTGAGTCTCCTTCTTTAAAGGTCAAAAAGGACAACATTGTCGTCTGATCAAACTTGAGTGCGGCTGTTGGTGTTCAAGTTCCAAATGAACCTCAGTGCAATAAATTCAATAACATTCCAAGACCCACATTTACATGTAAGCTTCTCTATGTCCAACCACTTGACTGGTTTGTATGTGGAATCAATTGTATAAGCATGATCTGCTTTACATGGAGTATTATTATGCATATACACTGTACACATGTTGAAAGACTCCCTCATTGAAACAATCAACAACATTGTCTGTCTGTCTGCCTGTCTGCCTGTCTGCCTGTCTGCCTGCCGGCCTGCCGGCCTGCCGGCCCGCCCGCCCGCCCGTCCGTCCGCCCGTCCGTCCGTCCGTCCGTCCGTCCGTCGGTCGGTCTGTCTGTCTGTCTGTCTGTCTGTCTCTGTCTGTGTGTGCGTTTGTATGTAAGTAAGTATGTAAGTATGTAAGTAAGTAAGTAAGAAAGTAAGTAGGTAAGTAGGTAAGAAGGTAAGTGTGTATGCATGTATGGATGGATGGATGGATGATGATGGATGTATGCATGTACGTATGGCACGTATGGTGTAATACACATCACTATCTATATATATATATAGTCCCTGCTTGTTGTGGCTACCCACTGGGTTTCAAAGGAAGAACGTGCCACACATCTACACTTACTGTTGACGAAGTCCAGCTACACCTGCGACGGAAGTATCTGGGCTTTCCAGCGGCTTCCACTAGGCGGCAAATCAACCCATAAGGGTAACAAATCCAACATGCAAAGCGCTGTGTACGGCACCGGGAGACAGCCTCCTCCTGGATGCTGCTCGGAATGAGGGTTTTCACTTGTTCTTTGGAGGAAATTCCATGAGAAAGCCATTCACTCCGTCTTGTTAAGCAAGAGCATCACCCGTACGACGCGGACGGGTGATTCTCATTCCCTGTCTCGGCCTTCACTAGCAGTGGCCGACCTTCACTTTCGAAGCTCCGACGGAATTCGCCCAAGCTCAAGGACTCCATCTGCCTGCAGTGGAAACTTCAACCACGTCTGGATCAAAAAGGATGGAAGCAGTTGAGATAGGTGCTATTCAAAAACGGAAGTCAGGATGGTTCCGCAGACCCAAACTCTTTGAATTTTACTGTTGGTTCCAAGTTTGCTGTGCTCGTTCGTTCAGAAGTGAATGTACAGGCCAGTTCCAGGTGTCGCCAACCACAAGCCACCCCTGGAAGCCGGTTTTCTAAGCTCAAATAGATAGACATGTGGTGCATCTCCTCCAAATATGCCCTGAAACTGATGTTGCTAAATCCTTTCTGTAAACACATGTGATGCATGCTCCGCTTTTTCGGGTGCCAACACTATTGGTGGCGGCCTGGAGGGCATTGTTCTGAGTGAGTTCTGAGCGAGATTGGGTAGTGCATGGTAATTACTGCTATTGCACAATCATGAACATTCATTTTGATTAGCACTAAGTAGCCGAAAACTCATGAAACATGCACCCAGCCAATCCTGAATGCTCTCTGATAATTTTACGAAGCCCGGGAGCTTGCACATACTTGCACCCTCCGGTGACCGGTTCACGACACGACTTTCGGCATGGTGGGATGAGTTGGTGCCAATGGTTCGACTCTTGATCAACAAAGCCCCTCATCATGAGTATAGGAGGTTTTAGAATCCAAATGAGATGGGTTTGTCTTAATCAAGACTCTACATTCATGGGATGAACTTTAAAAGAAGCCACCGACCCTTCTGGGACCTCCACTGCCACCGACCCTGCTGGAACCTTTCGTCCACGCACATGCCCACTTGCTCGCCCCGCTGGAGGGCATCCTTGGGTGACTTGGGGTAAGGTTGCCGAGGGCAAGTAAAACCTGCACTCAAATCGCAAGAAATCACTTCACGATAATAAACATCTCTATAAGAGCTGAAAATCAATGGAATTAGACATCTCTAAGAGCTGGATTCAACACAATTGTATATTATGCTCATTCAGAATAGCACCTGGTGACTGCATATCTGGCATATCTTGTCAAAATCGTGCGCAATTGGATGTTGTACATAGCCCTATCATTCACATGGACGGCATCGGGACAGTGATGTGCACCACTTGACCCGATCCCAATGGTGCTTTGGGGGGGTTCAGGTACAGTCCTTGCATGGCAACTGGTTTGATAGGATTTTGGGCCATATGTTGGCTGGTAAGTGGTCCAACATGGACGTCACTCAAGCTCTAGGTTGTGTTGTTTTATCCATCGTTATTTGGGGCTGGGAAGTTCTCTCATGGCCAACGCGCCAAGAATATGCGATGAGACTCAAAGACTGAGACCATCACAGTGAATCCCGAACACGTGGCCATGGGGAGACAAAAACATTGAAATATATATATATATTAAATACATCAACAATCATCAACGTATACATCTGTTTCATCTACTAGTATATCCCATGCTTCCCGTTCCCCCGCACCAAACCCGCCCCGGACGCAAGGCTCGGCCACACCGCCCAGCCGCGCGAGGGCGGGACACGTGCGGGACACGCCGTCGGGGCGAGGTCCGGCGCCGCCCAGGTGGCGGCCTGAGGTGGTCAGGCGGGAAAGCCTCCGGAGAGACATGGCCCTCAGTTCTGGCAGTTTTGGAGTACCATTGACCATGGTGAAAGCTGGGTGAAACGGATTTGATGTTTGTGAAGCTTGTGGGTTCTTCCTAATGGCTGATTTTGAAGCCAAGTCTTGAAAGAGGACCTATTGTAACCACTCCCTGTCAAACCAAATGTGGCAAACTTTATTACCAAGCATATGACGAAGTGAGCCCAAGAGTCTTCAAAGAGTCTTGTGTTCACGAAGCTCCCCAGCGCCCATGAGTCTTGGGTCTACAAACAAGGGTGGGTGGGACCAGGGTACTATAGAGATCTGCGCAAAGCCCAACATTCGCACGTCCTGTTTGGAGGGTGCAGGTACACACTGAGCCTTGGATGTAAAGAACACTGCATTGTCAAGCACCCTGGCTCACACACACATGCAACAAAAACTGATGCCAAAAAGGCTTGCAAATTGGTGTTGTCTGAAGGACGAGCACTGCTTTGGTTACACTCCTGAAGAGCGCCCCAATGGAATCCCAAAATACTAGTAGTAAGGCCAGGAGCCCCAAGTAGCATCCTTGCTCCCAGTAGTAGAGGATGGCCAGGTTGTTTTCAGGTCATCCAGCTTCGCTCAATGTCCATCTCGAGTTTACCCAGGGTCTTTAAAGGCCACCAACCAAGGTTTCTAAAGGAGCTCGAAAATAGAGATCATCGGAGATCATGTGGCTTTGACCTTGGAGAACAACCCCCAGCTCAGCAGTGTTTGGGGCGGCAGCATGTTCGTGTCAGGGTTGAACAGTGTTGTTCCCACAACTTCTATTGAGTTCTATTTATCTTCCTTCCCTTGAAGCATAATGTCTTGTGTGTTAGTTGTGCCCTCTATCTCGTTCAGTTTGTCTGAGTTTTTCCTACCTTCAACCCTTCCACGAATCCGATTCGCAAATGTCCGGTTTCCCCCAACAAGGTGCCTCCCACGGACACCGGCCTGAGAGTAAGTAGATGCAGGTCAACATCCAGCAGCCAGGCACGTAGTGTTCCTCGGGAGAAACCGGGTCTGCCAGGAGCGGTGAACGTCCCCAGCATGTTCGGGGTTGAAGAGAAGCGATTTCAGGAAAAAGCAAACAGCACAGGGGACTGCAGGGCTGCATACATGTAATTCCCCCAAGTTCACCAAGGAGACAAATCAATCTATAGAAGAAGTACCAGCATTGACAACTTGGGTCCTTTGTTTTCGTGGAACTCTAAAGCCCTGCATGGAATGCCTCTGCTACTTGCTACTGGTGATCGACCAATCACTCACCTTCAGAGTCTAAAGAGTCCGGGCTGGCAGCCAGTACATCAGATCCGGATGGTTCCTCAATGTCAATCACCGGAAAACATCTTTAGATTCTATAACCCTCCTGAAGTAGATGTTTTTTGCAAACCCCAAAACATGAGCAGTTTCCTTGGTGTTTGGATTACCCCCACATTCTATCTACTCCAGGATGACGATCATGACACCACATCACTGAAAACGCAACTCCAGGCGTCCAAGAGCGGATCTTCCTCCTTGCAGTTCTGTTGCTCCTTGGACAGCGCGCATGGTCGAATCCAAGGGGTGGAATGACAGCCAAACCCCGATGGACTGCGTCTCCCAGTCGAGTCAAGTTGCCGAAGGAGCGAAGCACCCGGTGACGATGATTTCGCCCAGGTCCCGTCACGTAGGTGGACCCCCAAAACGCCACGGCCGAGAAATCGCAGCGTGGTTCCGTTCGGGGGAAAAGCCCGACGGTTTGCATCCCTGGTGATTTCTGGTGATTCCTGAGTTGCAGGCCCAAGTGTCTACTAGCGGCTAGCGTCTGTGCATTGAAAACATGGTCGCAAAGTACAAGACAGCATCTTGACAGTGCTCTATGAAGTGACATAAGTGACATCTAAGACTCACAAAAGTGACATAAGCAAAAGGCGCCACAACGAGAAGGTGCTGCGCAGATCATCACCATATTACACTAACACAGCTTGTTCATGCAAACAATATGTCTGTATATTTCTGTATCATGCTCATACCCAAGGATTGTCAAGGTCTAGCATCCTGCTGATATTTAGTGACTCATGAATCAATTGAACACATGGATTTCTATCATATTTCCTTGAACAACAATCATTCATAGTCATGATATATGTATAGGTAGCTACATCCTGTGGCTGCTGTAGCTCACACCTCCAACATCTCGTCCCAGTGCGGCGGGTTGGGTCACGCAACTATGCGCTGTTTGTTTGCGCCGTTGGGTCACGCTAACTGTGCGCCTGCAAAAGGGCCAGCGCCAGCTGCCGCCAGGAGATTTCATCCAAAGCGCTTTGGAGACTCCTGGATGTCCTCTTCAGAGCCTCAAGAACTTGGAACATCTTGGAACTGAACGCGAAGCTGACACGATTCACGCCACGATTCCGGACTTTCCTTTTGTCAACATGAAGGATCACGTGTGATGATACGATGATATACGATGAAACATCATGCTCTTTGATTGATGGCAGTTGACACTCAAACTCATGTTCAGAGTTTTGGACCGTTTCCCACTTGTTCATCTTGAAACCCAGACCTTTCATGACCAACATCCCGCCTCAGAGGCCTCTGCTCCAGCCATCGCCACTGCTCGCAGGCATTCCAGGCGTGTCAGCGGGTGCCTGTAGAGGTGGCTGGACGACCTTTAGGTAGACTGGTCTATGTCCCTTAGAACCCAGGGAATCGTTCCCTGGGAGGTTCCCTATTTCAATACACACCCATATGGAAGATCCTGCTACAATATCTCAATTACTTACCCTCGGAGCATGGATGTGGATGGCAGGGTCCCTTGAAATAATCCAGTTTCCTCTCTACGAACAGGATAACAGGAGTTTTCATGGATTTTCCACGTCCATGTGATGTGTTCGGCGGAGTGAACTAATCCAATAGGGAGACCCCCTGACCGGGTTTCCCTCGATGCTCGCTCTTTCTAAACTTCCAAATCGGGGGCGATACACCTTAAAGATCCTTACAGGGTCCTTAAAATGATCCTTAAAGATCTGACAGTTGGCTTAAGGCCTGTTCCGAGCTGCATCTCAAGTCGGAAGGTCCTGCACCTCTGTTCCGAGCTGCCCAAAGAGATAGCTTGATGACGTCTAATATGTTGAGAGGGGAGTCACTGTACCTTCCTATTTCTGCCGGTCACCATCATTGAGCGGCTTAGCGTCCGCCTCTAAGAGGCTGTTCATATTTGGATAAACCGATCAACCGACGACCCAGAGAGGAACAATACAAGGGGCAGTGTAGTAGCTATGGGAAAGCTGCCCCTTGCAGAGTGATCACACCTGCACACACCCAACACCGACTTTCTGAACATACCTGTGCCAATCTTAACCAAGAAGAACTCTCCCTTTGGGCAGATGGTGTTGCAAAAGCACTTGCAATGAGACACGGTTTCTTCATGTTTCTTGCTGGAAGACCCCAGAAGAGTGTTTTATTGAGGGAGACTGAGATTGCTACTGTGTACAAACCCTTTGAACAACGCAAAAGTGCCCAACATTCAAGAAAAAGGAACCTGACCCCTTCAAGCAGTGCATGCCCCCCACTGTTTGCATCATTTTTCAAGCAGCTCCATCAACGAGGTGTCGCCGGCGGCGCGCCAGCCGCTGCCCACATCAATATCTGAGCGCATCAACGACCTGGGCGGGTCGTCTATGGACCTCTGATCGGGCTTTTGAACACATTGGGCCCTACTCACATCTCCTGCACTGGTTGGGGAGGGAATACTGGGTATATGCACACACCAGTCTTCGACAACTTGTTGTATTATGTTGATTCCTCAAACCTGTGCGCTTCCTTTGCATGCCAAAGCTCCGAAACAGCTGGCCCAGGACTTCTCCATCAGCTGCGGAGAGACTTTCCAGTTGCCAGGCCAGGTCCTGCCGCGTAAGACACGCGAGCGACCTGGTTCCAGGCCATGGCTGTAGAGTTGGTACTCCATGCCGCGCCGTGTACATGAAATGATGATAAAAGATGCGTCGATGGCACCGGATTAGAATTGTTCATCGAAAGAACGATTGGTTGCTTGGCACTTGTCGTCCACAGCAGTTCATGTTTTTTCGACTCTCACATCTTCCTGGATATTCAAACATCCCGGTGTGCACCAAGATCTTGGTACCCCATTTCTGCTGTGTATCATCCAAGCGGGGAATGTGCAAACTGAGCACTACCTTGAGGACGTGATCTTGTAGTAAACCGTACCAAGCCACACATTCACGAGCTTTTGCATCTTGTTGCTGAAGGTGCAATCCCGAGAAGCTGTATGGATGCAGGCGTGCTAAGGAATACGCCCCTCACCAAAACGGTCACAACGTGCACCAAGAAGAATGCAACTAAAACCAACACTGCTTTGGTTACCTTTGGGTTCGAATACATGCCCACTCATCCCTATGGGTTCCAAAAACACTTACACTTACGGTCATAATGAGTGTGCATTTTACTAGGGAGACCCCCTAAAATCTTGCCCCTGGCTGGGTTCGTTCCGGTCGTCCACCGAACCCAGGGAGTCGAGACCGGCAGACCGACTCCTTATTTGAGCTACACACGTTTCTCCCAGATCATCCATGTATGGTTACATGATAACGCCTGTATGCACACACTAGTTCATAACGATAGACTCTTGAGGACCATTATAAACAAAAAAACACACACCTTTGAAGAGGATGTTCAATTCAAAGGTAGAGGAGTATTAATCCAAGAGTCTACATTACATGGATGGTCTGGGATCTCTTCGCTTTTCCAATCCCACGACCTCCCACCGGACTCCTCTCGGAAGGCGACCACGGAGGGCCGGCCCCGCCCGCGGTCGGACCACGTCGGCCTGGAGGACTCCCGGTGCGCCCCGAGAGTCGCGCCGGAGATGCTTGATGATCTATATCTTAGATTGTAGGATTCTGTCGGATACTAGAATAGGTACAATATATGTCAATAGAATAGATACATAGAATAGGATACTAGATTGTAGGTACAATAGTATATATATATAGTGTTTTTCTTGTTCAATCAAGAGTCACCATTGCAGTGGAGCGAACCAGCTATAAGTTATTTGTTTTCGTCCAAATGCGACACAGCTATCACTCAGACTCCAGGCGTCAGACTCCACTATGAACTAGACCGACCTCATAAGCCGTGGTTTGTCCATTTAAACCTAAATGACCATATGAGGGACGGTCAAAACTCCTTATTCTTCTTCAGCTAAAGAATGGACGTCATCGGTTTTGAGGTGGACCTTATCATTTTACAGCGTTTTGAGTTCGTCGCATACTTATGACCATATACAGCGCTGGGGTTATCGGTTTTGAGGTGGACCTTATCGTTTTGCAGGGTTTTGTGCACAAACCTACCCCTCTTTACTAAAGTGGTCTTCGCATGTTTTGACCGTGGCGCATATATACTAGCGTCTTACTCCTAGTAGCGATGGCCTCCACCCTAGCTTCTTCAGTTCAGTACATGAAGACAGTTCAGTACCAAATGACCTTCGTTTTGGAGTACAAACTCTTTGCATCCTTTTGCTCCCCACCGAGTGCCCGGACCCCCCTCTCTAGCGTCTCTAGCGGAGTGACAGGAGCTCATCCAGATCCCGCCGTGGATGTTGGCCGGACCAAATACCTACAATGGACGCTGAGACACTGGGACCAGCTTTTTTAGGAATGTTCTAGGAATTGAGCGGAACAAAAAGTGGGTGATCGAATCCCATCGTGGAATCTGAGGCTGAAGCAACTTACAAGTCAGTGTCCAGAATCAACGACTTGGACTGGACTTATATGCACGTACGTTCTTGGTGGGTTTAGACGTAAAATCGCAGTTTACACATGACGATGTTTTTCACCCGCGGAACTATAAATGGAGTTTCTCTGTGTGTTTCAATCCTGGAGACATTCGACCTGACAAATATTGCCCAAAACGCGCATGTCCATGGCAAGCAGCTTCATGGACTTGATATGACTTGATTTCTGTGCGTTCTGAAGGCCTGCTTCGGTGCGTTCGGTGAATCCAAGACCTACTATAGGTGGGAGAGAAGACCGGACCAGTCCACCTTGCAGTCTTGGACCTACCAGTCAACCAGTGAGGGGAGGTTCATGGGTTTCACCCTGTTTCACCGGAATCTATCATACAATACACTCCCTGAAATCCTCAGAAGTGAGTGGCACCACCAGTTTGCTCTCTGGATTGCCATTCAAGCAAAAAGGGCGCCATGTTTTCACCTAGCCAATCAACAATTCTAGGGAATATATCTATCTCCCAATGACCCCTCCCAAAAAAAGAAAGATCACGTGCCCGGCAGTTCTTGGTCCAGCCCATCTGCCGGCCCGTTGCCCCCGCCGGAACCACCTGGTAGCAAATCATCGATGGGGATGAGTTGGGGCCCGGGATCCTTCGAGCCGCGGTCGCGGTTCGTGTCCGGCGTGTTTGGAGGTGTCACGGTCCAAGCGGTGGGAGGTACAATAGGGGTTCCCTCTGCAAGTGTCCTCTGCAAGTGTCCTTGCTCTTGAAGACTGAACAAAAACACGATTGGAGAGATTTTACATTAATTTATTGGGGATCGGGTATCCCGAAAGTGGAGCACAATCTATATAGCCAGCAGTAGAATATAGACTACCGCCACATATTGCCCGAGTAAACAACTTGATAAGCTTTAAAAACACACACCAATAATTGATATTTAAAAACACATCCACCGGTTTAGAAAGGCTTAAGAATTTGAACGCACACCGTATGGACTGTTTCCAACAGGCCGCGGCCGCAGGGCAGTTGGGATTCCCCAGATGATCAAAGGGATCACAGCAAGTTCCTTGCTTCTTGGAACTTCCAGCGACGAAATCCAGGGTTCGGCCTTCGGCAAATTACAGAATCTACAAATGATGTTCTGCACAGGATTTTCCTAAATGAACCCCGTGATCTTTGCTAAGTATAGGCAAGGGCCACCGCAAGCATGAATTGTGGCCTGAAGCCGCTCAAGCCATTCAGGCAGAAACTTTGCCCGATGCATTTCTGTTTTTGCCCGCAGCCTCTTCCTTCACTCGGGGCTAGATGTTTGGCAAAAAGTGTTCTAGTGTCCTTTGTTTCGCCCGAGTTGCCCTCATTTCTTCACCGGAGCCGTGTGTGTTTTCAGCAATACCTTGAAAAGGCAGATGTTGGCTTCAGGCAGAAATTTCTGGCTGTAAATGGTTTATAGGTACATACTGCTTTTTTTGTTAACCTTTGCTGACATGAACCCGGTCGCCAGATCCTTTCCCTCTCTCAAATTGTTGTTCAGACACGGGGCAGAAGCCCCTACACTTTCTCCACCGGTCTTGCATTTCCTAGAGCTACATGGGCCCCTTTATGTTCCATCATTACTAACTAGCGTCTGTATAACATTAGATATTATAACAATTTTTATATTCTATAGCCTAACTTGTACCACCAGTTGCATATGGTATATACCTAGAACCTTAGGGACCCCTAGAAAATTAGCCATCAAAGGGTCTTTTCCAGGATGTCTCGCGCTCGACATCTTGCCCTTGGCGATCATGTGGCCCCCTTCGCTGTAGGTCATATATAGGACAAGCCACGAGCAGCCACCGAGTGACACAAACTGGTTCAAGCCACGCTTTCAGAACTCATTGAGGTAAAATTCAACACACGGCTTTCAGAAGATTTCGAGGTTTGTGGAGAGACGTCAAAACTTGTTGTGACGAGTGCATGACATGACTCTTTGGCTCGGTACACTTTTTGTTGCTATAGGGAAGATCTTCTGGGAAGACTTCTGTAATTGGCATCTAATTGGTCTTTATTTACTTCCATTCGAAGTCGCACATTGAGAGTCGAGATATGGATTGGGCAACACATGGTCTCTTCCTAACAAAGGTCCAAGTAACAGTGGATGATGATCATGATATCAATAAGGATAGGCCTTTCTCTAAAATATCCGTATCACGTTTTACTGACTCTGCCTTTTCGGCCACACAGACCGGTCCGTCCGACTCGCTCCCGCGCCGACTGGATCCGTCCGGTTTCAGGTCGGTGAGCTGAAGCAGAAGCTCCGCACCGCGCGCGGAGACGCAGTAGGCCTCGGTGCGCGGTGTGGGTGGAAATAGGCGCCAGAAGGGAGTCCAGATCGAAACGACCGAGCAAACGGTGTGGATCTGAAGTCCTGGTTGGGAGCAACAAATAGCTTACGAGCTTAATAAACCAAAGAAGTGGGGGAGAGCCCTGTGTTTCTCAAATTCCAAAGTGCGGATCGAGGAGTTCCTTTCAGCTCACCTGTTGAAAGGATCAACACGCAAGAAACTAAGTATACTTCGAATTCGATAGCCAAACCATCCATGTGTGGTATCGAATCGTTGGAGACCACTGAAACCACCCAAAATGAAGGCACATATGCCAGCCCCTGGGAATGTCTGCGATATCAAAATATCCAAGATGAACTGAGTCGTTGGAAGCTTTGGCTCATCGTCTTGGCTCCTGGACTGGTCGTCTAACGCGGACGTCTAAGCGGCGAAGGGGCGTCCCCCCTGGACTTGATGCTGCTGCAAAAGATCCTTAAGCGAAGATCTGATTAGTAATTAGACTTACAATATATTTATACAATATGTATATAGTTCAAAGTTTTGGGGAGGTCATCAATCCAAGCACTAATACATACTAATACCAATCACAGGGTCGGGGTGGTATTCATAGTATACAGTATTGATCCAAAATGCAATTTGCTCAATCCTGAAAAAAGAAATGAAACACCCAGGGTGTTTGATGTGTTTTTCTTATTTTTTGTTCAGAAGCAAAAGGCTCGACTCGACTCCCATCATGGGAAACTGGCAAAAACAGTGGTACTCACAGGAGACTATTACAAACTATGGCAAAGACCAATGCAGTCCGAATTGGACTGCCCCCTCTGTTCATCATTGTTCATCTCCTTGTATATCCCAAACATACTAAGCTGTTGTAAACAATATACTATTGCAACCATAGATGGCATACTTGCCTGCTTGAAGGTGGTTTTAGGGGTATGTTGTGTATGTATGTGCATTGATATATATATATATTATATTATTGCGGTCCCATAGATTGTAAGGGTATGTTCTTCTGCATCGCATCGTCCCCTTGTTCCTTGATCCAAGCATCATGCAAACATGTGGAGAAGCCTGCCATCACCAGATCGTGCTCTCCATCGATGGGGGTGTCCGCACCAAACCTCAGTCTCTGTTGAAGGGGACAGGGACATGGTACTGGAGCCATGCTGGGAGACTCTGAAGTCGTCTCTGAAATTCACTCCATATTTTAGTCTGAAGTCATCTTCAGGAGCTGATCTGCGTGGACAGTCCCCTACCACTGGGTCTGTGAAAAACCGCTGGATGTGAGTTAATGATTTCCCTACTTCCTCTGCCTGTGGGTCTTCCAGCGGTGCCCTCTTTCCTTTCGACACATGGGTCACTGATGCACTCCGCAACATTATCTTTTCGGTCTACGCGAACAGCGTGGCAAAAAGACTACTGCAGAAGCTAAGGACATCAGGATCGGTGAGTGTACCACCACTCCAGTGGATGTCTGTCCTCATCCACTGCAATCAAAGACTGCCGACTGCATGGAGATCGCCTTAAGATGAGATCTGCAGAACAGTCTTGGGCAAAATCCATTTGTCTTTGGGGCGGCCACCTCTCTCCTCAAGCTTCCACGACAAAGGATAGCTCTGACAAAACAAAGGATGCTCTATCGCTTAAGAATAAGAGTGGTATGCGGATACTCCCCAAACCCACTAGCAACAAAGATTATGGACCAAAACCTGATCAGAAAGGAGCGCTCTCAGCGGCTAAGGTGATGTGTGGACGACTGTGCGAGGATCTGTTTTTGCACACCCAATCTTCAGGCACGCAATGGCATGTATGTCTTTTCCAAGCCCAACTCAACAGGGTGTATTTTGTTGCATGAACAAATTTTCCAAAACCCTTGTGTAAGGAGTTATGTCTTCTGTTTGGAGTTCTGTTTCATCCTCCAAACCCTTCTCCAAATTCTTTCAGCACCAAAGTCCTCAATCCCTCCAGGTTGCTTGTGCCGGCCAAGTAGGAGCAAGTGCCAATCAATTGCCCGGGCCTGCATTCAGACTCGACAGGCCTATTGGAGCTCGTTCAGCCACCGTTCGCTTCCGGTGCTTCGTTGACCTCCCACAAGGTGGACCACTCCCACGACCTTCCGGTCCGACCGGTGGAAGCCAACGAGTTTGGGTGATTCTGACCTCCCACGACGGTCTACATGCTTTCCCGGCCTCCAACCTCACTCAAGAGACCACTGGCCTCCACACCTGGCCTCGGCACGGGGTCCAAACGTCGGGACCGGCCTCCAAAGCATTGGTCGCCTCCACCAGCGCTGACCAGAGGGAAGCCCAGCGCAAGCAGCAGACTTGGAAAATGGACTCCATGGCCTTTGGCCGAAGCTTCGAGATGTCTCATGTTCCGGATGTCCAGGTGTCGACTTCGAAGAACCAGTGAGTTAAGGGTAGTCCTTTTGCCTCTCCGTTGAAGGGTCGGGTGGAGATCCCACCCAATTAGAGTGTGTGGAGATCGTGCGGAAAATGGGTTCGTTCTGGATCCTTCCAACACGGAAGGACTGGCGCGACTGGCGCGACTGGTAAGGCGCTCCAACATCCGCCTACCGACAATCGACTTGCGCAATGGGTCCCAGATGTTTGTCTGGGTCACTATGAATCAGTGGTCCCTTGCAGCCGTCTGTGCGACTAGTAGGTACAAAGGGCATCCAATGTCACATATAGAACATCATGTACACACATTCCCCGAGTTCCAAAGTGGTGCTTGACAGAAGGTACATGTGCCAATGTTCCACTCACTTCGCCTGGCGGCTGAACGCGTTGGAATTCCTCCACCTTCTGATCAATTGTCCGATAAATCAACCAAGGCCGCAAAAAGGTCAGGCGATCACGTCTGCTGCTTCTGTCTGCGTCCAACCTCCAAACCTGGTCAAAAACTGATCCAGTCGGACAGCCCAATAAGAAAAAGATAGAAAAAGGCCCTTCATGGGCGTCGGTTCCCCAATCGCCTGATCCTCCAAATCTCGGCCAGGCACATGGTGTCCTAGATCGGAAAGGCCAGGGGTTGAAAAATGGTGGACAGCGGAGCTAGGACACCCATTTTCGTGTAAAAGTCCGAAACAGAAAAAGAAAAGAACATGGAATACATCAGCTATTCTCTTTGACTGTGTGAACACGTGAAAACATACAGATCGTTAGAGGTCAGCAAACGGGCCTGGCAAGAAGGACATGGGCACCACATCATCCTCCAAGATCCTCGACTCGCCACGGCTCGTCGCGACTCGTCGTTGCGACACAGCCGGCGAGTCCCGCCGTCGGTCGAGCCTCCAAGCGAAGGAAAAGGTATCAAATGGAATGAAAATGCTTGAATATTATGGATATATAACTATATAGCCGCGTGCCAGTCACGGAAAAACAAGTACATGTTCTCAAACGGCAAGTGGATGCATATAGGAACAAACATTATATAGATCCAAGATGATCCAAGAATTCAATGTTTTCCAGGACCTTCCCAGTGACCTTTTGATCCCCTGGCTTGAGGTCACTTACGCTGGTAAAAGGTCACTTAGGGACACCAAAAAGGTCACTGGGAAGGTCCTGGTTCTTAGGTTTTCTTGTGGTGTTTCAGAAACATTCACATGGACTACCACATGTCAGTTGATGAATCTGCAGAACAACTCGGTGTAGTTTTTTGACTTGGAGCACTTGGTTTGCGGATGCAGTAACCATTGCCAGAAACACTCATTACTGATGTCCTCCCAAGAACGTGTCCTGTGCCAGTGCCACCCAACCCTTGGCTGAAACCTCCACTGGACAGACGTACTTACACCCTCTCAGACCCAAATGGTCCAAGTACGGAGCTTCGTTTCAATTTTTCACGTATACATAGTGAACTGACATACGCTCTTCTGAAGAGAAGGGACTGCTCTTCTTGAAGGGATCTGCGGTCACGAACACCTGAGTTAGTTGGATCCTTTTGGATTTGTCTTAAAAACTTTTCGTGACCAAGAATACCAAGCCATAGTCGCCTGGGTCAGCCAGCTACGTCGTTTTGTTCTTGTCTGCATCAAGTAAATACTTCGGACGTCACAAGCTTCCCCCGGTGGTGTCACGCCCTTGGCATGTGGGCCAGGGCGCAAAGTAAAGGGTGCACCCTTGGCCGCTGTCCAGGCTGCCCGGTGGCTGAAAAAGACGCCCTTCTCACCACCTGTTGGGACTGGCGAGAAGGATCGACACCGAAGACGACACCAACAACCATCAACCAGCGACGTCTCTTCTCACGCAGAGCGAGTGCATCCTGGATGGGCTGGTTACTGATGTCCTCATCCTGCCTTATTGGTCTTCAAAAAAAAACACTGTAACATACCCATGCTTACATGCATTCAATGTCACCGAAAGCTGCTGCAATGTCATCGCTGATGCAGTGATTGCAAAATGGTCAGGAGTACTTTTCATTTGCTGGTGCTCTAACCACATCCTCAGAAGGTTTGACCCCCCTGGCCCCCACCCCAACCACCTTGTGAGGTGGTTGGAGCCCTATAGGCAGCTAATGTTAAATTTTATGGGAGGGTGTCACTGGCTCAAGTATCGGTTGTAAAGTTGTAAAGGGTTGGATGAGCTTAAATTGAACTTCTTTTTGGCGGAACCACAATCAAACAGTTTTGCTAGACCCTTCTCTGAACTGGACCAGGCACTGCGGAGATGATGCCTGATGATGCTCCACCGTAAACATTGACAGTCTTGTTGAGCAACCATACAATATAAGTTTGGTGAGAGTCTACATGTCTGTCCCTGAGCAATGTTGATCACCCGCAAACACTAGTCACTAGTATCAATAATATATCAACAAAGTAACACATCCCCGAAAAGTTCCTTTGGGTAGACACTGGCAAACAGTGTGCAGGTTTGGAACCTCTTGGGATTTAGTACCTGGACCTAAAACATCCTTAAAGCTTCAAACACATCTCCACACCGTCCAATGAGAGTGGCACATGCACAAAACAAGCGACCTCATTCAAGTGCCAATATAAATATCCTTTTCATATTGAGAAATGATGAGACATACGTAAAAAGCTACGAGTAGATATTCCATGTTCATTTCCATGTTCTTCACCCTTCTGTCCTTCTCGTCCTTCAGACGGGTCTCCGGCGCCTGACACTGGTCGACCATAGAAACGTCGCAACTCCTGGAGACCGGGGGCTCGGCCGAGGGGTGGTGGAGAAGGGATGAAGGGGCAGAAAAGGGGTCCAACAAACGGAGTCTGGGCCCATGAAGGTCTTAAGGATGTGCACCAAACAAACAGTATGCGCCTGAAGGATCTGCACCCTCGAAGGCTTAAGGCTTGAAGGCCTTTGAACGGTCTTTTTCAGTCTCGGACCGAGCTGCTCGGTCATGATTAGGCCTTTTTCATCCTTGATCCATCTCTGATAATTTTAGGCTTTTTGGTGCACCGGTATCTGGGGACTTCAGGTTTCGTGACTTTGGCTGCTTGGGTGGCGTGATATTGGTGTCCCTACAACCACATGCCCATGGCGCGGGAAAGACGTGTTTCCTCCCAACTTGAGTTAGTCTTCCGTACCTGACATTTAATCTGGACATGCCAAGCGTGGTCCCAACATTCAACAGCTAACAACATATCGCAAACAGCGGTGGAATGGAAGGCAGCCACAGGGTTGCAAAACACATCGCAAATATCAGAGCTTTTGAACGGTGCCTTCAAAAGCACTGTACTGTGTATGGCAGTGTTATGTGCATTGTGACTGGCAGAAATTGCAACGCACCGATATATATATATATTATATACATAATATATAATCAATATTATATACATAATATATAATCAACTATCATGTAGTTGAAAACTGACTTGCCAACAGTGGGTATGTAGCAGCGTTTTGTGTGTTCCTGATTTTGCCTTGAAAACAACATCGATGGTCGATGGTATGTTCAGTGCTTTTGGGGTGTGTGGTGTCAAACACCTAGCAATCGCCATGACAACGAAAAGGAAGCCGCAGGTTTCAAAAATACGGCCACAAACTGCAAGTCCAAGCACTTGTGGAAATTGGACATGCCCCCAGCCTTGTGGTGTCGGACCTGGGACCACCCACTGCCTAATCAATAACAAAAGGTGGAAGGTATATGTGGACATTTTACAATATGTGTCCCTGGGATCCAGTCGTACCTCCTCAAAAGGTACGACTGGACCTTCCTGGCATCCACCCACCCCCAGTCCCACCTTCGAAACGAGGGTACGACTGGATCCTTAGGGTGTTACGTTCGATGCTTGGATTGGATTCCACTGTAACATCGCCAGCCTCAAGGCCATCCGGTGTCCGAGGACGCGAACCAGTGGCAGTAGCCGGGCATGCCTAGCATTGCCGTCATAGCCCCTAGAGTCAAAACGGCAAATCTAGATCCAGCTCGAAGCACACAAGCTCGTCACAATTCTCGGTGAGGTTTGGATGACTCTCATGATCTCTCATGTCTATCGCCAGGACCTCCCATGACATGAGGTCATTAGTCCTGGTCATTAGTCCAAGAAGAGTCCATAGATTTCCAAGGGTTTTGTGATCCATACAGTACGGGTTCAAACTATTTCACACATGTGCGGCGGTCAAAACATGCTAGTCATTCTGCTGCAAACTCTTCATAGGACGTTTTGGCCGCTCACATGTTCACCACCCAGTTCGAGGTCATCGCCAGCTGCATGGCCGGCCCCGTCCTCGCGTGGCAGGGGCTCCTCTGGGAACATCTTCGTCCAACGGCGCTCAGTCTCCTGACACACCCTCCACGAAGGACTGGATACGAGGGTTGATATGGCTGTTGGTCAAACCGAGGATACCTGGATACCTTGCTGCATGTCGGTCGTTCACATGGTGGACTGGTCGGGCTGCAGGTCTTCGCTAATCCCTATATAGCCAGGGTCAGGGAAAAGAAGATGACAAAGCGGCTCGTAGGGGAGCGAAAGACTTTTGGAGCCTTGATTTCCTTGAACCTTTCCCAAACACTCCATGGGACTGGAATAGCCGCCCCAAACAGGCCCCGTTGAAAAGCCACCCCAATGTATGCAAATATGCCATACATGGAATGTCTGGGTTAGACGGTTAGACAATAAAACCACAGTGCCAATGGCTATAATACACTTTTTGTTATTTCCTCAAGGCACGTTTCACAGACTAAATCCCCGACGTCCTCATGTTCTGAAAACCCTTCGATACATTTGAGGCTGCTAAGCTTAGATCTGCTCGGCATTGTTTGCAGTCTATTGCGCCTCAGAATTGGACGTCCTTTGGCCCCAGTTTGACCATACTCAGGAAGTACTGTCACGTGCAAGACCATCCTCAAAGCTAGCTGGACCCTATGGGGAAGTATTTAGAGCTAAGTGCAGGGTTTCCACCAGGCTTTCAGGGTCGCTCACAGCTGTTGGGCCTCGAGCTGTTCCTCGCTCAAAGACCACCAAGCAGCGCCATCCAAGTCCAGCTCCTGGTTGCCCAAAGGGATGGTGGAGGGGCTCGGTGCCTCTCGAATCAAGGTCTCCCCAAGGCCCGGTGCCGCCAAGCGAAAACGGATCATCCTGGGTCCTAGGAGCCACCGAACATCGCTCGCCCCCACCGGAATCATGGAACATCGACGAAGCAAGTTGTACCGAAAAAGAGTCAAGATCCGTCGCACCGAAAACGAGTCAAATGTCCGCAGTACTTTCTGCAGTACTTTCAGCCAGCCCGTCACCCAAGACAGCATCTTCGCCAACGGCTCGGCATACCTTCCCCGGTGACGAAGCGTTCTGAACTTGACTTCGTTCGTCTGGCGATCGGACCCTTTTAGACACCATGCTACAGCTCACGTCCATGACCCAAAAAGGACAAAGGGCAACCATCTCCTAGGGGAAATATGAAGGTGGGAGAAGAAAACCTTATGTAAGAAACAAAAAAACCTTAAGTGCAATGTGTCTTTCCGTATTCCGGGGTCTCCTGGTTGGAATACCCTACCCTACACTACACTCATTAGGTGGAGAAAAAACGCCAGCCAGGACACCGTCTTGAATGTCGAATGAGTCGGTGTGGCTTTCGACTTCATTCGCTGCTCGTCACTGGAGTCGTGGCATCAGGATCGCCAATCGCTGCACCGCGGACGATTTGCACGGAAGAAGAGACAAGGCAACATCCAAAGAAGGGAACTGTAACTGGACCATCCAAAGAAGGTGCCTTTTGCAGCCATTGAGCGAAACAACAGATTTCAGTGCAGGAAAACCCAGGTACACCCCATGATAGTCTTAACATGTCTTAAGCCAAGACCCAATTAATGAACACACGCTGAAACCAAACACGCGAAATAAAGGCGCGAAGATGTGTGGCTCGAGGGTTGAAAAAGCGGAAGATGTTCCCATTCACGCGCTCCTCCCCATTCACTGCTGGCACGAACGAGATTTGTGCACCTGCCTCTTGAAAGGCGGGCAAGCAGCTCCTTGCGAACACGTCGGAGGATCAAAACCGCAGTCCAGCAGTTCCAGAGGGGTACCTATTGGAGGATAGGGGCCCATGATCCACTCACTTCAGGGCAAAAACACATGCCTTTGGAATTGCAGGTTCGTTTTCTGTTCTTTACGTTCTTCAGCAAGTGTTTGTTTCTTCACATCAAAAGATCTAATGTTTCGGCACAAACTGAGAAAGACAGGTCACCAGTTTCCCTCCCATGAACGCAGTGGGGTGTGTTCCAGGCCAACAGAAGTGGCAGGTATAAAATGAACAACAGCACTGAAAAAAAGTGGCCAGTTGCAACCCAACGGGTTTGCCAAAGGAGCAGATTGTGCACCCAGGTTCCGACCCGACTTCCATGGCCCCATCCCGACTTCCTGCACATCCAGCGCCGGCGATCCGGACGCTTCTCCAAGTTGATGACCTCAAGTCAAGATACCAGGACCATTCAGGTTAGCTAGCCCACTAAAAGATTGCAACCCAGGTGGGAGGTGGTGTTTAGCAACATTCGTCATTGGCACATGTGATTTTTCGCCAGGTCTTCGGAGAATCACGTTGTCAAAGCGCATTGCCACGAGATCCCAAGATCCTCCATTCAAACAACAAAATATCAAGGTTGAACGTGCGGTATTTTTGTTGATCACACAAGTAACGAACTAACAAATCTGTAACTATTGATGATTAAACCAAAAAACTAGTCAAACAAAGTCTCGTGATTTTGGGTCACCGCAAGTCACCTTTAATGTTGCACCGCCAATGGATCTACACAAGGCTTCAAAAAAAACTGGCCCTCTCTGGTTGACCGTTTTTCGGTTCCACGAGTGCTATCCGGAGCACCCACCACACAGCGGCCACCCATTGGCCACACATGCAGTTGGCTCCAATGGACCGCCAGGTCACCAGCACCCGTGGACCGCCGCCACCTGCGCAGGAGAAGCTGATCCAACAGGGACCTGGAAGATTCCCAACAGAATAAGGACATGTCCATCATCGAGAAGCCCAATATATCGAAGGCACAATGACTGCCATAACTTCGTGCCAACATGAACTCACCAGCAACAAAACATGACAATGAACTCACCGCCATCAGGCTGAGATCCCAAACGCTTGAGGAGAAGGCGGAGAAGGTGTGCGAACGGCAAGACTAGGGGTCGTTTGGTGGGATGTTTTAAGGCAGGTATCGTTTTTGCGATTGGTATCGTTTTTGGGATTGGTAGCATTTTTGGGGGAGGTACTGGAAGGTGATCTTGCAAATGATGACTAGTAGAAGTAGCAGTAGTAGTAGTAGTAGAAGTAGAAGTAGTAGTAGCAGTCGTCGTGAAGTAGTAGTGTGGTGTGG